TTTTAGGGAGACTCCTGTAAACAGAGGCTTGAGAATCGCTGGTATCAAGCCAGGGTAAGCACAGCTAGAATACATATCCTATGTTGTGCTGGCTTCACAAGCTGGATGGAAAATACCCTGTTATGCAAATGCACTACCTGGGGATAAAACACAGCTTTTTTAAACCCCCAGAATCTAAGTGTCAATTGGTATTCAATGTATAAGGCAATCCAAAGGGAGTAAAATTACTACCATGACAATCCAGCCAGGTTTAAATTGCACTTTAAATGACAGGGTGTTTATTGTAGGTCAAGCTCTTCCCGGAACTGCATCAAGAACATAGTTGTCTGAGGGACAAGTCAGAGCAGATCCTGCCTCAGTATTGCTACTGCTCTGAGGGAATAAACAAAGGAGTTAATCAAAAATCAGAGGCATTGGTCTATGTTCTGCTAACCTCCATTAAGAAAGTCTTCCTTGGGGTCAACCTTCCTGCTCACACGAGTAGAAAACACAGGGTTTTAGCACAGGTAGCACCCATCCATACAATTCACTGAATATTTGTCTTTTCAGTAAAGTAAACTTCAACAATGTGTTTTTCTCTCTCTGTTTTCCAGGTATCCCACACAACCCTGTCGTTTTGGAAAACTTTTATTGCTTTTACCAGCTTTACGTTCAATTAGTCCATCTACAATAGAAGAAGTGTTTTTCAAAAAGACCATTGGGAATGTACCAATTACAAGACTGCTTTCAGATATGTACAAATCCAGTGACATATAAATTACCTTAAAATAAACAATCAGGATGGACAGTTTGAGAACTTTAATCTATGGAGAATAAGCCTCAACTAACAAAATCTACAGGAAGCATAAGCCTGGGAATGTTTAGCCTTTAAACCCATTGACAAAAAAATACCCCAGTAGATATGATTCTGCTGCTCTGAACAGAGTGATTTAAATCATGGAGAGAATGCTTTGTTCTACAGAAAAAAAGTGAAAGTGGTTGGAATTTGGCTGGTATTCCTGTTACTACAGGATGGAGGCAATTCAGATGCCAGTCAAAGTTAACAAAGACTCCGCTATTCTCTCATTTAACTGGCAGATCTGAGACAAAATGTGAAAGAAGGTACTTTAGTTTGTTCAGTATTTGGAACCGGGTGACCAAACTTGGCTTCTGTTGTAACATGAGATGTGGTGGCCTTCGGAACTGTTTTAAAAGTAGCCTACGTTGGGAAAACATTTTTAAGATGATAGGCAACATTTAAGACCAGGTTACCAAAACATTGCTTCTGCTATAATACATCATGAAGTGGCCTTCAGAACTGATTAAAAAGTAGCTTATGACAGCAGCTCCATTCTTCCTGCAAAATGGACCGGTGATCTTTGATGCGGATGTCACCACCATTTGTTCAGTTAACATCTCAAAGACAGAAGAGCTTTACACACTTCTTCCCCGACCTTCCCTCCCTCTTCCACACACGCAGACACACATTCACATGCACACCTGAAAAGATACAAGTCAAGAAAAGAAGACTAAAACAGAAAAACCAAATACAGTGGAGACAACCGCTTCAGTGACCTGCTGGCTGTCCTGCTGGCACAGTGCTGAAACCAAAGGCAACAGTGGCCAAACCCTTTGTCAACGAGATGTGCAGAGAAGTGAAATGACTATAAAACAAATTAAATGGAAGGAATTTTATTTCAAAGAAATAAAGGTTGTTGACTGATACAATGCTAACAATTTCCAAAAGTCTCCAATGCCTTTTTAGAAAACTCCAGGTTCTAATTTTTAAGTCTTGTTTGCCTACACCCTCTCACACACAAAAACATTATAAGCTGCTTATTTGATGTATGAAAAATGTAGAAAAAAAAACAATTTAAAGCTAGCTGCTGTACTTTTCAAAGTTTGATTTGTTATTAGGAACTAGCACTGAGAAAAATCAGCACTTGGACTATCATAGAATGAATGAAACTTTTCCTGTACAAAGTGGATTAACTGATTTGTGAAGTTAAAAAGTTGTACTCATTGTATTTACAAAGAATAAAAATATATTGAATTTAAATTACTTTCCACTGTTCTTTTAATGCTTGTCCTTCTACCTCTGGATTATTTTCTTCCACTGTACCCTACTTACCAGGGAACAGAAATACTGTCTTCCAAAATGGATTGCCTTGGATGCTGTGGAGTCTTGATTTATCAGAGGTTACAAAAACAGGTTAGATAAACATTAAAGGAATACCTTAGGTGATCCCACCTTGGGACAAAGGGACTTCGGGTTACTGCATAGAGATGTTTTTTATAATTCAAATATACACCTGCTGCAAGCTTTCTTTTGCAAGGAGCTGACAAAGAGCTTTTCTAGAACATAATACTAAACGGACCAGAGCTCTAACCTAGAATAAGTCTTCCATTTCGTGTTATTACAATTTTTAATATCAGTGGATTGTGCAGCTAACAAAGCGTGATGAATACAAAAACACTGCTTCAATTAAAAAGAGGTTCTGAGGTTTTATTAAGGTGTCCAATTGTGTAATCACACCAAAGAAAGAAGTAAGCAACTCCCAGTGCACAGGATCAAGCTGGCAATAGGAGATTGGAAACATATTGCTCATATGGTAACAAGTGACCAAAGAGCCATGCACACTAAAATGACAGGTGGAAATGTACAGTCTATATCAATGGCTCATCGGTTTTCAGGGCCAAGGAACACAGACCACAAGTGAAATCCTGGCTCCACTGACCCCAGACAAAAATCTCACACGTTTCAGAGGTCAAAGCTTTTATCCCATCTCTCTTCCATTTGTGCAGCTTGCTAGGTCTCACATTCTGCCCTTTCCCAGACAGCCAGACCATAAAATATACAAGACCAGTCTTTTGATGAGTCCGGTGAGACAAAGCATAGACTACAGGACTTTGAAACATCTTCTATACAAACTAGCATCGAGCACTTGAAAATGCATTTACCACAGGGCATAGCACATTCTTCAAAATAAACAAACAAATGCTTTACTGTTCATACTGCACCTGTAATAACCCTTAACCATTTTCTGCTCTCTACACTAAAAAGAACTGGACAGCAGAAAATCAATTGTGGCCCTCCTCTCTGTGACAATTCAGTTTATGAGCTAAAGAAGTTGAACCTACTGCTGTATAGAATTCATGACAAAACACTAATGTCAATAAGATTCATGCTGCTCTCCTGGAGCAACAACAAACATGAACTGCATGCACACTGCAAGGCTACCTCACTCTGCAGTCTGCTGTAGCCCCACTCCCTCGATCACCCAGGCTAGAGGATGCAACACAGTGCACTGGCTTTCTCCCAGTTGCAAAGCAGGCAGGGCAATGGGTGCACACCCATATCTCATCCTCTCACCTGTAGGACCCAGGCCAGCTGGAGAGCACTCACAATCTGGGAACAGTGCCCAGATCCCTGTGGTTTAGGAACAGCTTATCTCAGACGACGTTTTCCTCCCAGTACTGCAGATGGCACAGAAGCAGACCAGTTACACTACAATAGAATTAGGGTCTCTTGTTGGCCTTGAAGGACTGAAGCCCAGGTTTTCAAAGTATCAGTGTCCAGGGCAGGTGTCCTGTCAACCTCAGAAGGTGACACTCCAAACTTTTCACTTTAGAAATAAGAATAATTTGACATCAAGCATGCAGCTTTTCCCTCCTCAGGTGTGTTTTTTCTTCTTACAGCAGATGATACAGATTGTGTCATCATCTTTTAGGGATAAAATGGGGCATTTACTTTAATTTCTGAAAGAAGCTTCTCTCAGTAAGGAACATTTCATAACAGAAAAATAACACATTACTACGTATCTAAACCTAAAAAACCAACACTTCATATACATTTAGCCCTTCTTTCCCCATTTCCAAGAGTAAAGTAACTTTTAAGTGTGATTTAACAAGAACAGAGAATGTTAGAATTGATTTTACATTATCAAAAATTTCTTGGAAAAACTAGATTGTGTTGAAAAACCAGACAGCTCTGAGCTACAAGTGGGCTGTGTCAGTTTTGGTCTCTGGTTTCACTAGTAGGACTGCTGGGAAGATTCACCATAGCATTTGTTAAGTATGAGGGAGAAAAAGCAATTATTTAAGCATCTAACTGTTCAGTCTAGCTAGTCACTAGTACTACCTATAATCTAGTCAACCAGCACTGTTCAACCAGCACTGTGTCTTTTACATCCAGATTTCTATAAATGAGGTTAATGGTCTTATTTAAAGGAAACTAATAACTTTGACAGTAAGTTTGTAGGATCTTCTCAACAGTGATAAGTATTAAGAACAAAAAAGCAGCGGAGACAAGTCTAAGTCAACATACACTGTTACCAAATAGCACAAAACACTAGATCAGACTGCTACTAGTGTTCAAGGCCAGGCTGGATGAGGCTTTGAGCAACCTGTCTAGTGGGAAGTGTCCCTGCCCATAGCAGCGGGGTTGGAACTAGGTGATCTCTAAGGATCCTTCCAACCCAAACCATTCTATGATTCTATGACTGAATCAGTTTTCAAGAGCATCTGGATAGGTAACTCCCATATCACATTTGGAAGCTTCTTCAGTCATAGAAGCATTTAGTGAGAAAGACGACTTCAGCAGTGTTGCTCATGAACTGCAGTTCAGGCATCAACAACCCACATTTCACCAGTGGTCATACAAAAACAATGCTACAGCTTCCCCTTCCTTTAATGGATGGCATAATTTTCACTTGCTAGTTGAAGCTAGCGTGATGCTTCTTATGCTTCTCTTTTCCCAAACTTACTGAAGTCATAGATCTGTTGACTGTCTACCATAAGCAGGGTTCCAGCTTCGGCTCCACAACACATCAACAGCCTTCAATACCTCTTTATGTTCTTTAACACTTGAGCAGCAAATGCCAGCATCTAACAGCATTTAGGGTAACACAAGGGTAACACAAGACTACATCACAGAAGAGCATCACAGCAAGGCTGAAACACCAGTTCACTCAGTAAAGTCCCTGCTTCTCACAAAGCATGAGATATCCCACACTCAATACCAAGAGTGACAAAACATTTGAAGTGCATTTTCACTTTTATTTCAAAACTTTAGACAAGTTACTTTAGTATATAAATTTGATTTTTTTTTCCTCTTACAGAATATAAAGATAATTCCCTCATTACTTCAGTATAAAGTGTTTTACAAGCTTGAAGACAATTGCATAAGTGTTTCTCACACAATGTATCAGAAATAAAGCAGTCTTTCTACAGAAGTTCAGACAGATTACTACCTCAGAAACAGCATAGCAGTTCAGTAAAATACAAGTGAATACGTGACACTACAACTGTGCAAGTTCAAGTAAGGCCAAGTCAGTAAACATTGTTAAGTCATTGCAAATAAGAGTGGAAAGGTTTGTGAGACATTGCAAGGGGTGGATGGTCTCGTAGGACAATACTCTTAAATCAAGGATTCAGAGGGACTTAGCTAGAAGACAAGTGAGTTCTTTTATGCTATAAAGCATATGCAAAGACCAAGCAGTGTACTGATGTTAGTGGAGACTTTGTGCCTGTTTATCCTCAGCATGCTAAGACAAACTGCAACCTCTTAAAACCAAGCATAAGAACCACTAACATTTGAGAAGATGGTTTCAGAACTCAAGTATGTCTTATTTTGGATGGCGTATAGTTTTTGTCTATTACTTCATCTTGTAAGAACATGTGAAGACAGCGCTCATTCTGTGCCAGTGGGTGGCCTGCAACCCTGGAGAGGAAAAAAAACCAAGCATTAGTGCTAACAAAGTCTACTTGCAGCTAGCCAGCAAAGCAAGGTTTTATACCCATAACCTATGGTCTCACACATCGGCATAGATCCCACTTCCAGTTCACTGTTGGTTACTAGAATGATGTCTGGCAGGAAGATTTGTCATTCTCCCTCAGCCAAATTTAGCAACCCTGAGCTGCCTCTGATCATTCAGGAGCATGTTACATCATCATTTGTCACCTGCAATTTAGAGGACTACCAAATTGCCCATTCTAGCATTAGGAAATCTAGAGTTAAGCAAGCCAAGCAGGTTTTTACAAGTCTTGATGCCTTTGACACAGGACACCTTTCTAAAGGCAGCATAATCCCTCAGTTCTCAGTCTAATTCAATAGCAGTTATCCCAGGCAGAGTTAAAGACTTACTCCACCAGAGGGTGTGAAGGTCTTCTGAAGTCTGACACCATTTAGAGCAATGACTTACCATGGTCACTATTCCTAGCATGTACAAGCTGCACTGATGCACAGCCAGAGGGTACTGACCATTCCATTAACTGCAGGTGTCTTTAGATATGAAACATAGGAGACACAGCTTGTCTGCTCTAGAAGAGACCAGCACCTCTATGCAAATTTGTTTCACATATAGACTGAGTCACCATGCTTTTAAGAGTAAAGGAGCTGAAATTGAACTAGAAGACACTCCCAAGCTTAGAAGAAAACCATAAGGTATTGCATTTAAACCCTTAAAATACCATGCAGCCTTCTGTGCAGGTAAAAATCGCAGAGAATCAGAATCTCTGGAAGTTGTTCACTTATGGATATGAAAACCTCAAGCAATTTGGTTTGAAAAAAGTTACATCCAGTTTGGTCAAACAAGACAGGTTTCTCCATTCTGACAGTCTGTCAGCCTTACGGCCTCCATATCTGTCAGAACATTTCTACTCTAAATAGAAGTTACCTAGTTGAACACGCGCAACACAGTCAAGTCCAGTGGCTCAGCATCTGTACTTCCCAAGCACTTTTGTGCATCTTCTCCAAATTTGTCTTAGTGCTTATTTGATTACAGGACATATTGACTTGTCACTACTCACTTGTCATTGAGGGCATCCCTTAATGAGGAAGCTGAGCTCTCCGATTCAGGATTGATAGATTATTTCAAGTGCAGTCATAAAACCTATCAATCTTGTCAGGTTCTAGTAAATGGGCAGCAGTCTCAAGCACTAGTTCACAAGGAACAGTCTGAAATAATTAGCTTGAGTTTGTTACCCCCTCAGACTGAAATTGCTGGCCTTGAACCTCAAATGAAAAATATACAAGAGAAGATGACAAAGGTAGCAGCATACTCCTCCCTTTGAGGAAGGCTTGCAAACTGGTGGCTGAATTGCAAGACTAGATCTGTTCTTAGATTCAGCCCTGGGTTTCATATGAATACCTCACTCTGCACTGACTTTGCCTCAGTAGTATTCTCTAAGGTGGCCCATAACACAGAGCAGTTGCTACTTATTTTTCATGTATCCCAAAGTCAGGTTCAGGCAGACAAGTGTGTTACAACATAACTACGCTGTGAGTGCCATTGTAGGTAGTATTGACAGTGGTGCTGGCCCAAGAGAGCCAACTCAAATAAGCTGCACTGCACTACAAAGCTTCTCAACAACATTCTGGACATCAAAAAACAGCACTGCTGCATCAAGATCTTTTTTGGATACAGTGACATCAGTTATTTGAGGGACTCTTTTCTAGTTCTAGCAGTAAAGACCAGCTTTGAGAATGCAGTAAGGTGAGCGCATTATGCAAATTACCTTCAGGACTAAGTTCACTAGTAACCAGGGTACTTGGTAGAAGTCTTAAAGCTTCTACATGGTTCAAAACTTTAATTAGTAATACTTGTTTGATGAGTTGGTTATGCCATTTGAATGAATTGATGAGGCTGAATAGCTACGAGTTCCATCTGAAGAGTCTTGTTACAGCCGTATTCAAGTCCTCCACTACATCAATATCTACATTAACAGCCTGCTTTGATGTTTCCAAGGAGGAAAAAAATGACAAAGAAGTTTTACAGCAAGTAATACACTGCTCTTGTGGAAGTGTAGGACTCCACAATTAAACTGCCCGCTCCACTTCTGTCAGCTATACTGACTTTTTGCAGAGATTCCAGTTGAGTGTTTCACTATCAGCTGCTTCCGAACATAAACAGCCCTCTTCCTCCACAAATTGCTAGATGCAGCATACAAAACTTTCAGCAAGTGTGCTACTTCTGCATTTAATGCAGAGTCCCAAGTGTGCATGGATGAAAGTTGTACTATACAGTCATGACTGCCTTGATGATACAGCACTAAAAACACCCCGCATTCCATCTTATTTTAAGCACACCTGCCTTCATGTAGTGCAAATGCAAAACTAGATGGCTTGGAAATTCATTCTGCTTGTCTTTGAACAGAAGAAAGAACAGTCTGAATCATTTTACCTGCTCAGAAACATTATCAATACCTTTAAAGTGAGCTAACAAGAAACTATGGGAAGGAAAACTCAAGAGCTTTCATACAGTCACATCTAGCTTACTTGCACAAGGCAACAGTTTCAGCAAACTAGTCACTTGCAACTCCAAGCCATACATCTGAACAACAACTGAAATTCTGGTTTAACTTGGGCATCCTCTGACCCTGTTAAACAGCATTACTATTGAACAAGATTAAAATGCTAGTGTAACTGACAAGCTTGAACTTTTAAAGAGAGCAGTCCCAAATTCAGTTAGCCTGAACAGTGATTAGAAGAGCTGGTTAACTGCCAGTATTCCTTCTTACCCACTGTTTTGATCCACATTGTTAAAGAGATTAAAGTAGCTCTTCAGGTCAATATATGGGGAGCAGCTAGTAGTGTCAGATGGTCGAAAGAATCATGAGGCTGTTACTATAATTTCTGCTCACCCTTTGAAAAGCAGTGACAAAACCCAAAGTGTCTCTTTCAAACTATGTATGTGCATACCTCAGGTAGTGTTTTTATATCTTCAGAAAGATTCTCATGATGATTAGAGAAAATATGCATCATTACACAAGCTGATAATATCTCACATCTGCAATCAAAGTAAACTGCTGTAAACCCATTGTAAGCTCCATTGTTCACCCAGTGGTGGATACCTTTTCAGAAATGAAAAAGTAGAACTATTTTGAATGCTATAATTTTAGTAGTAATTTGCATAAATTAACAACAACACTAACATTCATTTCAGCTGTTCAGGTAAGCATTAAGATATCTAAACTAAACACTGGATGAGCAGTGCTAGTACATACTCCTGCAAGATTATGTGAAAGTTGTTATTCTGAACCTAGTGCAGCTACCATAGTTAGAGGACCAGCAGCTTTAATTCAACTTTCCAGAGCTGAGTTCTGGGTTTATCTCTAGGTCACTAGACCCAACACTTACTTGTTTATGAATTGTTCAAGAGCCTGTTTCCTTTCCTCTATAAATGAATCATCAAATATGCCATCATCTCCTCGGAAGGGGAGCTGACGGAGAAGAGCTTTTCCTGGTAGAGGTGGTACCACAACCTGAAAGATTTAGAAAAGTGTCCTTAAGTGCAGCCTATAAGCAAGTTTATACACCTCCTGTGCCATCTCTTCCTCCTAGAGGACCCAACTCAGCAATCATATTCCTAGTGAAGTAATAAAACATGATCAGAGAAGAACAGTATCTGCCGACAGGGGTAAGCTGAATTCCAGTAGTTTAACTCTGAAGTAACTCAAAACCATTAAACAGCCTCTAGCACTGTATAACTGAGGTTCTGTAAGACTGACAGTGTTTTAGTTCTGGACATTTCTAACTACAATATCTGCTCTATATGACATATTCTTTATAACATAAGATTTCAGCATCACTGTTCTTTGTATTTCTGTGAAGACTTGCATTCACCTTTCATTTTACCCACCTTGCTTTCTCTTTCTAGTTCGTTCCTTAGCCATTCAAAGTCACTGTATCTTCTTCTGACTGTAGATTCTTTCAACTTGAAAATAGGCAGATTCGTCTGAAAACAAGCACATAAGCTTGATTAGACAAGTTAGAAGTTTTGACAAGGAGAAGCAAGTAAAAAAGCTTTTAAGTTACAAATTAGTTCCACTTAAGCAACAGCACTGAGAAACACTCAAGATACAGAAAGACAGGTAAAGCTCTGTAAGCTACATGAGTAAGCTGTGCCTCAAACTGCTTAACTGTGGGCCTCACTTATATGGCATCCTAACCACTGGTATTTTGCCACCACATTATCTAGCAGAATAGAAGACTTACTGGCCCCTTGAGGAGCCATTCCTAAGGTTGAACAAGCAGCTGCTACTCTTACTGTCTCAGGAACTGGATTCCCAAGGCCAAAAATATATGTTTGAAATTGGAGGTGAGGAGGGGGGAAGACAAAGTTGTCTTAATCCACACAGGCTCCTCTTGTTGCCTTCAAGGGAGTTTTTCAGGTATGAGCATAGGACATTAATCAAGCTTCCCGTACTTTTCTGCTACCTGATAAAACATGGCTTCCAACATCTTTAAAAGCAAAACCAGCAAGGCCTACAGGGAATCCATTCAAGACAGACAAAGCTGAAGATTCAATAGCACAAGTTGCCAAGTTTGGATAGCTCAAAAGAAGCCAGCAAGGCTGAAGTGCAACACAATATTCAGTGCTGAGGAGATCAGACTGTTTTGCTACAAAGTTAAACCAAAAAGAGCTTGATGATGCAGAACTTCTCCTAGGAGTCAGCACCTACCTCTTAACACCTTTGAAAGGGACATGAAATGGAAGACAAGCTATAATGCTGCACAAGGCCATGTTAAATACATTAGCATTTTGATAGGTGTCCTTACACTAACCGGTGTAAGAGCCTATATCACTTCTACTCATTCTTGGGGTGCAGGGTTATCCCATTGTTGTAATCCAACTTACACATTGTAAGAGCAGATACCGAGAGAGCACTCTTAAAGACATCTCCAGAATGGAAAGCTCCACTAAAGCTTAAATGTCATTGAGATGGCAAACTGGCTAAAATGTTACAAAAACGTTTGCCAGGGTTATGACCTACTAAAAGCAAGATGAAGAGTCTGTAATTGCCATACATAAGCAGCACCAAGAGAATAAAGCTTCGTGCTGTCAAGGCTGCATATTCACTGTCCTATATATACACCTTGAAAGAAGACTCTTGAGAAGTACCCCTGGGAGCTGATGTTCTCATGGGACTACTGTCACCCCCAGTTTTCCTGTTGGCAGAAACACAGCAGTCATTCTCAGCTACTGCCTTCTGTTTTTTGCTGTTCTATTTAAGCTGTAAGCCATCTCTCTCAGCTTCTGGTCCCAGTTTGAGTGGATATCCCCGTACGATACCATTCATAGGCTGCTATGTTTATCATTGAGGGATATTTTTTGTTGCTAAAAACAGGTTTTTTAATTGCAGAGGTACTTTCCTGCACTAGGCAGGCCTACAAGTACAAGCCATTGTATCACTACCAGTCAATAACAAGTTTTTGGCTGTCATAGTTCAAAAGTACTTGAGAAGTTAGCTGTGTACTTTCACATTACACTATTCAGTCCATAATTTACAGAACAGTATTTTGTTACTAAATCTCTTATTGCTAAATGTTTAAAAGTATTCAAGCTCTCCTTCACAGGTAAAAACATTGTTGATTGTACTACTGACTAATAATAAAATTGCACTTAATACTATGATGTCAGAAGTCAGGCTTTATATATAAACACTGATCTTGAGGATACGAATACTCTGCTCAAGAGTGAATAAAGCTAGGTTCCTGAGTGCATGAAGGAGATTCCCAGAAGTGAAGTATTGGATTATTTTTCTCCAATTTCAGCTATTGGCTTTTTAACCAAGTTCAGCCTTCCACATTACAACATCAACCCTTTGTCAGTGTCTCAGGTAGAAAGTCCTTTACAACATTTAACATGTAGGCTCTCACCTGCAGAAAATATTCCATTCTCCTCTCAAATTACTTACAAGAGGGATTAGAACCAAACAAAAGCAGCTAAAAAAACCAATGAGTTCTCAGGTCTTCAGGAACTCTTTTCATGCCTCTGGGTATGAAGTCTATAAAGTTAATCTCTAAACAGCATAACAGGCTTACAAGGTACAATGTAGGGGTAGAAGTGCCAATTGAGCTCATTTTACCTTGTACATCCCCTTTTGAACTTTTGACATGCTAGCCCAGCTTGCAAGTTGGAGGACAGTTAAAGTACTTATTTTCCCTTTGAGTTGAAAAATCTCCAATTTTGATCATAAGCACTGGAAACATTCAAACTAAAGTGTATAGTGTCCCACTAAATTAAGTCGCTTACAAGTCACAACTGGACAACTGTATGCTAAAGGAAAGTGCGTATCCCGTCCTTCAGTCTGGATATGAATTAGAGCTATCTGTTGCGATCAACTTCTAAATGTCATGTTCTTCAAAACCTAGAAACTGCAGCTATTCTCCTTCCTCCAGAAATTAGTACTGACAGAGCAGCATTCTTCAGATATGCAGCTGGAAGAAAGGATCTGTTTTAAATAACAATTTGAGAATCCTGTTTTATATGGATTAATGTATTTACATCTTAGATCCCTATTTTTAACTCAGCATATATTCACACCTGAAGTTCCTGTATGCGCCTCTCATTAAGGATTATAACCCTGCTTGAGCAGACCACTTTTTCCTTCAGTAGGAAGGGTTTCTGCATGTCCAACTGCCTCCACGTACCATGGATAGATGGTTTTCATTAAGCCAGCTGGACAGCTGCTGAAGCATGAGCAAGAATTTAGTACAAGGAGACAACTCTAAGACATCAACAGAAACTTTCCATTTCTATTGAAGCACCACTTCAAGACCAAAATTTTCCTCAGCTTCACAGTTTACGTTGAGAATTATCCCTTTTTAGGCACTGAGGTGTCAATAGCTATTATGAACACTGATAGTGCTTTGTTTGCCTGCTAGAACAGAGGTAAAAGTAAGGCACAAAACTTGAAGTCAGGACAGCTTCATTTTTTATAAACATTTCTCCCCATGCTCGTTCAGCATTATAGTGTTGGTTTTTGGCCTACCAATCTGCAAAGTCTACTATTCATGAAACTCATGACTGTTCAACACAGCCCCTGGAGCACAGTTCATTCCTCTGATAAATTCAGCATAATTACTGCAGGAATTGTTTCTTCTACAGTGTAATAATTAGGCTCTTTTATAAAAAACTTTTTTTAACAACTTTCTAGTCCAAAAATCATGCCTCTTAGCAGTTTGAATGCAAGCCCTCAACCTGAAAGGATTACGCATTTTCTAATACGTTAGACAACCGAAAGTCACTAGTCAGAATTGCAGACAAAGCATTATTCCAGACAGACCAATAAATCAGCTCTGCAGAACTTGCACATCATTCAAAATCCTAAGCACAAAGATGCTAAGGCAAGAGATTCTGTCTAGCATTGTTTCTGCATCAGACTATATGTATACACCCATTAGGCCTTTTCTGACTACTGTCAAACAGTCTGTATTCTGCTGTGAGAGTTAATGGCCAAGCCAATACACTGGAATAAACATTGTCAGTACTGGTGCCAAGTTAAATCACATAGTTAAACAGCAGATGACAAACGCAGACCCTTAAGTCACTCCCGCATTCCTCCACTCAGATGCCAAACAAGTTTCTACAGTCATTTGGCTAGTGTTCAACAAACTAGGAAGGGGAAGCAGTGGTTGCCTGCTAATAGAGTTCAGAGCAAAACCTGTATTCATAGTAAATACGTTTCTTCAGCTACATTTATGTTGCCATAACATATTCAAACTACAAGTCCAACTCCAAGCTCAGGAGGTTCTCAATTCACCTCAGAAGCAAACAGTCCTAAGACAGTAGTAGCCTGGATAACCAGGTAACTGTCTTCTAGCTGTTACTATGGTCAATCCCCAAGCTACGCCCAGTTAGAAGTCCAAAAATTGTTTATATACACAAGTGAGAAGACTTTCACAGGCAGAACACAAGTAATTTGGGTACTAGTCAATACTGTCCATTCAGTTTCAGATACACAGCTCTCCAATGCAGCCATTCTGGTATTCAAGTTACCTTAAATGCTGAGTACTTTATTTCAAATAAAATTACTTATAATTCTGAAGTAATGTGTTTGCTATCTAGACTAGCTTAATTTATCCAGTGAGTGGAAAAAGCCCTGCAAATAGCCAGACTTGCTCCCACAAATTTGTTTCCAGACATAAATTGAGCACAAATAGCACTTGGGTTCCTTCAAAGAACATGCTGACACTCCACAAGATTGACTCTGAATGTCACTGCAGCCCAGTCAGCCCCCACAACTGCAGAAACTTCACAGCTGTAGTTGTCCAGGATAGTTTGAGGTAAATTTGATTCATTTTCTCATCTGCCAATGTAACACTCAGCAGTGGTACTGTGTTGCCCATGTCTTCCACTCCTAACAGACCAAAAATAAAGCTGCACTGTTGCCATAGCACCTACTTTGATGTTGTCTTTCAAAGTAGGTTGTTCTAGCCTTGATACAACTCTATTTCCATTAAAATAGAGTGAAAGAAAGCACTCAGCTCACTTTCAACACAAGTTTGCAGCCTTCACTCTCAGAAGCTAAATTCAAGCTTCTTACCATCTCTTCATACAAGCTGTAATCTTTGTCAAGAGACTACACCCTTTGGCTACACTTACAGTCAGACAATGAGAGCTCTGGGGTATTACAGGGAGGATAAAAGTAGTATTCAGGGTGGATAAAAAAGTATTACAGTTTTCTTAACACACGAGCATGCTGTCCTTTAGTAGAAGAAACTGGCTCCAGCAGTCCACTGTTACTGCAGAAAGCTTGCCAGTAGTTTGTTTCCTTCCCGACTTGACATAAGCAGCTACCTCCCCACTTCCTACAATTATAAAAAGAAAGAAGGCAAACATGTTCTAAACTTCAGTTGCTAGAAACTTAGATATTTTTTCTGTGTACTTTACTGAAGGAAAACCTCTTTCCTCACTGCAAAAAGTCAGTAAGAGCTTGTTATTTCTCTAAG